ACAAGTAAGCTAGTAAACTAGCTCGACCATAGGTAGGGACTCACTCGACCATAGGAGAGGGAGAGGGAGCGGAACGCATTCAAAGAAAAACTCTAATTTGTTTGTAGAGCCACGCAATTCCGTTTCGATAAACTACCTTGCTTAAATAACAGCTATCGCGCATTATTCACTCCACTTACTACTTATCATTCTCCTTGATATTGCAGGAAAAGAAATTATTATGTGCACAGGGGTTCTGACTCGTAAGATGAAGAGGAAAAGTTAAGAAGGAAGTCCCCAAAGTGGTCACACTAAATCAACCTGGGATTCCCTGCTTTTCAAGGCAAGGGTTTCAAACTAAATTGTCCGAGAAGATATTCTTCTTTTCTTAGGACTGAAACTAATTCCCCTGCTGTAGCCCCGGACCCTATCCCGTTGCTTTCTCATATGAGATAAAAGCACTCTCTTGAATTGACTTAACTGCTTTGACTTACTGAAGGGATAAGGAAAGAGTGCTTCCTTCTAATGGTGTCACTGGCCTGGCTAAGAGATTGCAAAGCTATAAAACAAAGCAAACTCGCCACCATATAAGCAAACTTGGCTGCCACTACAACTGTAACCCAGGAAGGGATTACTCGACCAAAGGTTGCGGGATTAGATTATGCTAGTCTGGCATGACATCAAAGAAAACTACAACTCCAACTGGCTAGCCGAAGAGAGTATGCTATGAAAAAAGAACCTTCTTTACTTTCAGGAAGATATCCCGTTTGCCTTTGCTTACCCTTCAGACCTAAAAAGATTCTCTTTTATTTAGTGTCATGACGGGCCGATAGAGGAGATTCAATTACTAATTACTTAATAAATAAGTAGAGGAATTATCACTGGCTCGAAATGCATGTATACAAAAAGCTTGTTGGCTTGTTCGCTCGGTAGGAAAGGGAGCACTTGTAAGAAGAGGCCCTTAGAAAGCTTAACTTGTTAGACCGAGGAGATTGGCAGAACTGAGAGTCCTACTAATCTTATCTACGGTATCACTTTTCAAACTCTTATCAAAGAGATCCTTGGGAGGCCTGCTATCTATGGTATCCTCGGTATGACGATTGGCTTTGTGATTGGGAATCTTATGAAAATAGGAAGTGCTACAGTCACCAGCTTGCATCCAATTGACACGAGAACTTGGCTGCCACTACAACTGTAACCCAGGAAGGGATTACATTTTTCGACCAAAGGTTGCGGGATTAGATTATGCTAGTCTGGCATGACATCAAAGAAAACTACAACTCCAACTGGCTAGCCGAAGAGAGTATGCTATGAAAAAAGAACCTTCTTTACTTTCAGGAAGATATCCCGTTTGCCTTTGCTTACCCTTCAGACCTAAAAAGATTCTCTTTTATTTAGTGTCATGACGGGCCGATAGAGGAGATTCAATTACTAATTACTTAATAAATAAGTAGAGGAATTATCACTGGCTCGAAATGCATGTATACAAAAAGCTTGTTGGCTTGTTCGCTCGGTAGGAAAGGGAGCACTTGTAAGAAGAGGCCCTTAGAAAGCTTAACTTGTTAGACCGAGGAGATTGGCAGAACTGAGAGTCCTACTAATCTTATCTACGGTATCACTTTTCAAACTCTTATCAAAGAGATCCTTGGGAGGCCTGCTATCTATGGTATCCTCGGTATGACGATTAATGGCTCTTACCTAGCTATTGCCCTGATCCTATTCGATCGTATAGAACGCTACTATAGACCCTAGCTATTCCGCCGGGACAACAACCCCTGAGGGAAAGGCAGAAGCATAAGCACTGACACGAGATGTCCTTATCATCACTCTTTCTCGATCGAAGGCTTTAGCATTCCAATCTGATCTAGTTGCTGCGACGTGGACTCCTACAATGCCAAACATCATCACCAAGCCGTCCGTCGGGGAGGAGAAAAATTGGGTGATGATCAGAAGAATATGTTGAAAGATGGTAGATGGTGAAATTGTCTTACTGCTGAAACAAGGTTAAATTACTAAAGCCACCGTCTAATCACTCTTGAACATTGGCATTATCTTTGCGATTGTTCGTCCAGGTAAAAGGATGACCCACAAAATCAAATGATAATAGATTACAGGTGTCAATTACCCGTTGAAAATCTTTGATTTGACCGACGGAGCGGAGGCAAGGGCTATTTTTCTCGTCCATAGACAGAATCTCATTGAAGTCACCGTAGCACATCCATGGACCAATATCCACCTGACTCAAATGGCAAAGAAACTCCCAAGAATGAATCCATCGAGTAGGGTCAGGATGACCATAGAACCCAGTAATTCGAGCAGAAGAGTGCCACGCTGACGGAGCAGGAGAGAGCCCCCTTAGAGAATGGGCGACGAGCGATTGGAATAGGGGGAGTTGGGAAGCGCTTGAGGAGAAAGGTCCACTCACACCCGTGGCAGGTTAAGGGTATAGAAAAGGGTTCCATCTTACCCGAAATGTCGAAATGCTGGTTGATACGGGGTAGGGGGAGATGGTGACAACTGCCAGTCTACGAAGCCGTGGAATAGCAGGCAGGCAACCCTTCATTAATAGACGGGGGAATCAGGGGGTTGCTTACTCTCGCGACTATACGCGCAGGAGGGTTGGGGACTCATGGAAAGTGATGAATAGAATCTGCGAATCGCAGTATTCCCCGGTTCCAGGGTTCCGACTCACCCTCCATTAAGAAGCATCTCATTCAAGTCCACTTTTCGCTGTTCGACATAACTGGCGAGTCACGTCAACCGCCTTATTGTTGGTAGGGCACTCTAGAGCCATCATTCTCATTTGGTCTGGTTGTATAGCGGAGAAATGACGTCGACCCGATCTCCCTAAGCAGAGCCCTTTTTGAGGTAGAGTGTTGCTGCTCATATGACTGAGAAACCGACCAAACCCGTTTCCCCTACTATGCTACCATTCAGGGATAAGGTTTAGTAGACGGCCTACTATTAGAATCAAATCATCTGGTCAAAAAGGGTGTTGGTCGATTCGGTCAGAAAAGGTGTTAGAGAATAGGAAATGGTCATTAAGGGTGATGGTCAGAACGGGTGCAATCTCCTACTATTCGAGAACCAGCTCTTATATACGTGTTAACAACTTGAATGAGGGGAATAGAAATAGTAGGGTTTGTTTCCACCCATCCTCAGAAGTGACCGGTCGATGACATAAGGGGCCGTTTCTCGTGAGGGTCGAACGGGAACCCGATCAATCTCGAGCTCAAACTCGGACCTCCCGTCCGTTGGCATTTCGTCCGTTGCTTACTTCCTAGTCGATTCTACTCATCCGGTCACTCTAGTCTCGCCTCGGCTCTTCCCCGGGGGTGGGGAGACGAACAATCTCAGCTTGTCATCTCGTTTCCCTCGTATCTCGTGGAGGGAGTATCATATGGACTTCCCGATTTCTGGCTCGAAAGGGAGTTTACTTGCTCGACCATAGGGAGAGGGAGAGGAGCAGGAAAGCTTTCACTCGATCGAATAAGCGAGATTTACAATAATCGAATATGCTTTTCCCTCCCCCTTCTATCCGACCATCTATCCATTCGGTAAAGATGCCCCTCAACAAGCTAACGATGAATAAGAAAGCACTCGATCGACAAGTAATAGTGAGCTGCTTCCCCGCTATCCGATTAATGGAAGCAAATTGGAGAGACAGAATTCAATGCCCTACTTTTCCAATAGAAGGCCGACTAACCCACTATTTCTTAATGACAGACTCGAATTGAAAGACTTCATGCTCGTGTCGGGAGGGAAGGCCATAATGAATAGTAGGGCCAATCAGACGAGTGAGTCGATCAAGCAATCAAGAAAAGGCATTCTTCTCGATCAAGCAATCAAGCTCTCACATTATCTGCCTGCTCTCACACCCTCCCTCTCACAGATTATTCAAGAGCTTCCGTCCACTCCCAAGGTAGGACGATCAAGCTTCTCCTTCTATTTTCAGGTAAGCCCTCTCACATTCTTTCCCCGTTTCTCAGCCCCTTCAATTAGAGGGAGAAGAATAGTAGGTTGGAAAAGTTGAAGGAGAAGGTGGGCCCGTATCGCTCCCTCGGGAGAAGAAACGGTAGCTTTCATTCTGTCTCTCCAATCCTTTCTCGCCGGGACTTGCTGAACATGATAAGGTCGTTGCAGGAAAAAAAACCTCCACTTCCGGGGTGGGTCGATAGGAATCTGTCTATTAGGTGAAAGCAATCTGGCCGTTCCCACACTCAAGAAATAAGAAAAGAGAACCACCTTGAGTTCGATCCACAGATGAAAGGGAATCGACGGGGTCTACTGTTGGGGCAAGATCTGGATCTGTTGAATCTGAATCAGTTCTTATTCTGTATGTACCTTCTCCATTTGCTGGACGATAGCCGCCTCCATCTGTATAGCTGCCTTATCCATCTGGACCTGCTCCATCTAGATTTGTTGGATCTGGATCGGAAGGAAGAGAAGAAGCTCTTCTTATCTTTCTGGGTAGGGATGACCAGAAGGGTTTAATATCGATATTACTAGTCTACTAGAAACGTAAGGAGAAAACCAACCGGGGGTACGATCGATTATGAGGAGAAAAAGAACCTACCTTTCCTCCGCTCTCCTCATGTGGGAAGACGTAGTAAGGGTTGGACGACTTACTTGTGCCCGAATCCACAGTTCCATCCAAACCCGGAGCATTTCAATTCTATAGAGAATTTCTTTCACTGGGGGAGTACTAATCAAAAGGGGTTGTATTCGGCCCAAGCTCAGGTTTTGGTTCTCCACCTTCATCCCTCCACATATCGGATCCAGCCGATGATTAACACAGCTTGAGGGGAACAGGTTTTGGTTTTCCGCCTGGGCCGATGAGGACCAGTATTCTATTCCCATTCTATTTCCAGATGATTCCTATATGTCCCATTCCGGTCGCAACGACCCGGATACAAGCTCCGGGGGACCTAATTGGGGAAAGTGGATGAGGAGAAATAGTAGCAGATTCAATGGTGGAACCTTCGGGTTATTGGTCAAAAAGGGAATGTCCTATCACGTATTAACCACCGGGTTCGGATGCCACTTTCCGGTTAGGATGCTTTTCACACACCGAAGAATTTGTCTCAACGATAATCAAAAGAGCCGCATTAGATTCATTCGAATTCGCTCTTATCCTTCCCTCTAGAATGGAATAGCCTTCCTTCCGGCTCGGGGATTGGACACGAATAGAAGCAGCTCCAGTTCCAGAGCTTATCCCAATAGATCTAGCGGATCTAAGGGGTTTTTTCTCCTTTTCTTGGGAGAGTCTCTCCAGCTGGATCATGAGGGCACAAAACACCTTTGACTAGGTTCAAGCCTAGCCTAGGATACCCCGCTTCCGCATACACACCAGGGAATGAATTTGGAGAAGGATCAAAAGGAATTGGACTTGCTAACCCGGGAATGGATGAGCAAGAAGAGACAGATTGATGACAAGAGGATCCAACAAATCCAGATCCAGATGGATAGGGCTAATACATTCCATAAGGATGCTCAAATTCATGAAGTCTAATGTCTCTTGATTCTCCAAACCAGTACCCACTTTCGACACAGCATATAATGATGGATCGATATGAGCAGGATTTGAATCCAATGTCGTTCACGTACCAGTCCTCTTTTGATCATCATCCCCTTATCGATGAATACGGAAGGGCGAATCCGGAGATTATCCGTACGTCGTCCAACCAACCCTATAGCTGGAAACCTTTTCTTCGGGGTCGATTGACTGAAGGATCTCCCTCCTCCAACTATTTCAACTCTCTGTTATTAGTATGGCGAGCCGAACTAAAGGCGGTTCTCTTCTCAAATGAATTGCAGTTTGACCCAATAGTGAGTAGCCTTTCTTCTTTCTTCTCGGTCCGCTTTGGCTCCTGATCTTGAGCTCGCTTTTGTTCAATTATAAATAAAAAACCGCTTTGATGGAGATTTGTAGCATCATTCAAGTAAATACAGATTGAGATCGTAGAAACATGAGCTTGTGATATAGCTACACCTAATTCCGGACCGGTTAATGCAAGAACTATAAATAAAGGACCAGGATCTCCTATAAAAAATAAAAGATCATTCATACATAGCATAGTCCAAGCGAACCCACTTAAAATCTTTACTGAACTATGACCGGCCATCATATTAGCAAATAAACGTATTCCTGAGCTTAATGCGCGAAAACAATGAGGAATTAGCTCAAGGAGTACTAAAAAAGGTGCTAACGGCAGTGGGACTCCTGCGGGTAATGAGAAGCTTAAAAAATGAAGCCCATTTCTTTGAAATCCCACTATAGTAATGCCAATAAAAATAGAAAATGAGAGACCCAAAGTAATGAGAAAATGACTTGTAACTGTGAAGCTATAAGGTATCATACCCTGGGGATTACGAAATAACGAAAAAGTAAAAGTGACCGAGATGCGAGGGAAAAACTTTTGTTTCACATTTCCGGAAAGACCGCCTATTTGTTCGTTTACCAGGTTCGGTACGAAATCATAAATAAGCTCTACCGAGGATTGCCAAGCATTTGGTACTGAGTTTCCTCCTCCGTTTTTAGTAACAAAATGAACCAGAAGTAGGACCAAACTGAGAGTTAGCAGCATAAACAAAGAAGGATTTGTGAATGAGAAATACAAGTTTCCTATATTCATAGGAATCAATGGGAGAATGGCAAATTGCTCAAGCGGGCTGTTGGGCGTAATCGAAAGTATCATGACTTATTAAGATTCACTTGTAGTTCCGCTTCCTGTTCTAACAGAAAGACTTGTCGGAAATCTGGTTGGTCCAACCAAGAAAGGCATGGGAGTCTTTGGGCATCTCACAGGAAGAGGACGAAGAGTCAGCTTTTTTCATTTCGCCAACTCTTCTTCCTCTGTTCGGAAAGTAGCTGATAGAGCCGGCACACAACTATGACCCTCTTTTTGTACCAAAGTACCTTGCCCCAAAACTTTCTCGGAACGGGGTCTTTGGTACACGCCCAAAGAGAGGTAAAAAAAAGTAAAAAAGCCATCGTAGCAACTGGAGTTTGAATAGGACTTGATTAAGTCCTATCATTCTGATGAGAAAAAAAAAGGGGGATGGCATGGCAGCGACTATCTCGGTAGGTCGGAGAAATTCAAAGGATAAAAAAAAACTTTGAATCGAATTCTACGCTTTCTTCTCTTATGAAATTTCTAGTTTGTGATCGTCTCCCCAATATGAGATAGGTTGCAGCTATAGTCAGAACTCCAACTGGGACAATCTAGTTTAAACCATGACCATCTTTTTCTCTTTATATCGCGTTATATTATATATATTATATATTAATTAAGGCTTCTACCGCCTCCAATAATACAGTACAACACGCATTTTGGGAGGGTTCTTTTCTTCCTCTCTTAGTATTAATGCCTTTGTCCGGAGGCCTTCTTGCACCAGCTCTTAAAGAGAAAAGACTGTCTTAGTGTATGTCCCACGACCTGTGGGACCGACAGTAAGTAGTTGGAATCATCAACTTTCTCGGGGTCGCTTACACGGAGGTAGAGTCAGCTGACCGTTAGCGATCAACATGTCAAAGATGGCGTATACCTTGCTTTCATCGAAATCCCCGACTTTAGAGAGTCGTTCTTTGAGATAAATTTGCCTGCTTCTTTTCATCCCCGTTTTCGTTCTTTTGCGCAGGGGTATGAGGGGTTAGCCTCAGAAGGACAACTTTTTGGATAAGGCGTTAAGGCGGCCTTCTAACCCTCGGCCTATCTGGTCCCGTGCGGATTAACACCCTTTCGTTTCTATCGAAGGCAGCCAACCATATGAAAGCATTTGATCGTCGCGGTTTAACCGGTCAGGGTCTAGCACTAGACCTGAAAATGGAAGGGCTGCACTTCACGTTGATGTCGGCTATGCGCCTTTTGCATCCGATGACTCAGTTCACAGACCTAATAATTCAAAGGAAGAAAGCAGATGGCCGGCTTCCCTCCTCCTAGTATCCTTACTGGTTGTCTGTCTTTTCTTTTAGGCCGAAGAGGGGAGGTCCAAGTTTTAACCTGATGGGGCACTAATAGCGATACACATTCCCAGTGTCTCGATAGCTCATAGGCGGAGCCCTATTGAGCTGCGCTTCTTTCGCCTTACTTACCGCGTATCCAAACGAATAGATTGAAGAAGTAAAGTGGTTTGGTTGTTGTGCGCGCCGGGGGTAGTCGAGTTGCTTACGAGGGGTGCTGTACGCTAACAGTAATTACCTCCCAGGAAGGAGAGCCGCATAAAAAGAGACTCTAAACAGACTGTATTAGAGCAGCAGTCGGACTTGTTGCAAGAAAAGGTAGTTGAATGTGTTAGGCGAAGAGAATATAGCACGTAGAAGCTTATTATAGAGTCGGTAGTGCGACGGCTTAATGCTTGCCCAAGAGAGTTCTATAGCCCTTAGGATAAAGATATGACCGTAGGATTTCATAGAGAGAGCCTTGGGGCTCCTCTGAAATACCCAAAAAATGGATTGTATTCATGTGACCACGTCAGATGGTTGAAAAAGGGGTTATTGCTACCTAAATATGGCTTTATAACTCGTTTTAGCTCTGGACAAAAGATGGGAACCAGGGAGTCAGACCAAAAAGAATTAGTTCTTTGATCCATTTGGTGTCCGGAAATCCCTCATTGATAGATATAAAGAGAACACAGCTATTGAAGCTATTGAATCAACTGTGGGACTTGAGCTAGTTGGCATATCTTAACTTTTTGAATCTTCCTCTATAGCATCCGATTACTGATTCTTTTTCTGACACAAACAAAGAAGATAGAAGAAAATCTTTGCACTGTATTCGCGACAGAAGGGCTTTGTGCAAGTGAAGAAGAAAGAATGCTTGAGATTCCAAGTAAGGCATTCTCCCCGCTAGGGGAGGTAGGAAAAACCTCAGTAAAGATATCACTCACGCGGTAGTTTACTTGCTTACTCTTTATTTATTTTCTCTCTCAATGCTCGTGCAAAGAAGATTGACTGATGCCATACTCTTCTATAATAAATAGTTATTCTAGTGCAGCTAGGAGAGCTAACTAAGACTAGGAGCTGTTCGGGAGAACTCCGATTTAAGACGATTTTAAATAGACGAGATCAGATCGTAGAATATCAAAGTCTGTTCCCGCGTCCCTGGTTCTATCAAACCAGACTATTTCATTCCAGGGAGCGCTAAGAAGCAAGGCCGGAGTGAGATGAGCGTAGGTTAGGTCAGCTACCAACTAAGCTAGGAAGCCGGGAAGAGCCGGTACGGCTAACTTTCCGATGTGTTAGTGTCGTTCCGAACTCTTAATTGCCTCCCGGCATGCTCAACGGCCTAGGAGCGATTGCCCGACAGCCATAAGACCTGACCGCTATCAGACTGAGGAGTAGATTTCTTTCATCGATCACCCATTCCCCTTTTACCCAATGCCCTCAATCGACGGGAGAAGAAACCGAACGTACTGTCAAGGGCTTACTGAGGCCCCATCTGCATTCCTTCTTGCACTAGAGGCCACCACAAAAAGCCTTGTGCCAATCCCGCAGCGTCGAAACCTTTCTCTTGAACCACGGGTCGTTTCATACCCACCTGCACTTGCAAAGGCAGACGCATCCCTGGCTTCGTACGGATAGATACACGTCTTCGAATCTCTAAACTCCCACCCTCTATCGGAACTCCCATACACTCATCTCCATACAACATGTCCGCCCGTATAAGCCAAGTCTAACTCTTCTGAGTAGTCAAACCCCCACGGAGCGGTAAAAGGGCTGGGACGCTTGAGCAGGGGCTAAAGACAGGTACAGGTGTGACTATAAGCGAGCACTTTACTTTCCTTGGTCTGCTTGTTCATTCGGAGGATTGACCAAGAGCGCTCGGTGTGATCTACTGACGAAAAGTCTGCCCATACGTCCGTTTTTCGTACCTCACAGGTGATTCACCCTAAAACACAATTCTTGTGCGTATTGAGGGCGCAACCTCTGAATCGATTTACCTAAGACTAGAACAGTCCCCCCGGGAAGTCGGGTTCCTTCTCTTCTTTTTACCCGCCCACGGCCCGTTCCCCGGAAGTGCCCCCAACCTCTAAAACCTTACGCGGGGGGATAGCATAGCACAGTACTTCGGGCCTGGAGTGAAGCAGTCTGGTTCTTTAGGGGCGAACGAACAGCTCCTTCATCTCGGAGGGGCAACTCCTTCACTTTTAAATAAAGCGACGCCCCACCGTGCCCACCCAACAAGCTAGGTTGCTTGCAAGACAATTGCAATACAATCCGCAATGCAATCATTCAGAATGAAAGGATTTAACAACTCTGGGTAGACTTCCTGTTTCATAACAGCAATAGCAATAGCTAAATTTCAATAGCTGTAGCTGAGCTACCTAACAAGACCAATCAGATCATTTTCAGTCCATCGCTCATAAAGAACCAATAATCTTTCGGCAGTAAACTAAGCCAAAAAGAATGGCTTTTATCCTAAAGAAGCAAGGCCCTTGCGTGTTAGACGCTACCATTTTCTTGCTTGTGCATGCCAACTTCCAATTAAAATATAATAGAAAAGATAGGTCTTCCGCGAGTGCTCTAGTGATGCGGCCTCGCTAGCTTTCTGATAAATAAGATGAAACTCTATAAAATGAAAGTAATCACACGACTATCTATATAAAAAAGAACTCAACCGCGGGACCAAAAGAAAGATTGATAACTGATGTCAGGTAAGGGATACCGCCACCAGAGAAGCCTGCCGTTGAGCCGGCTTACTCGCCCACCATGTCAGCGCCTTCGGGTTAGTTCTTTATGGAGTGCTTTCTTTCATAACAATTCTCCTTATGGAAGTCCCCCACAAGATCAAGAATGCTTGTTGCCGCGGCTTTCTTGGTTTTTCGCTTGGTTTGGCTGGCTCAGTTGCTATTGCTACGGTTGCTTGCAAGACAATTGCAATAAGCCGCTTAACTGATTTAGTTTAGGAGTGCCGGCTCCAGGATATTGAATATCTGGGACTGAGAGTGCCAGGCTGCGACCCATCTTTGCAAAGCAAGAGCGAGGCCAAGAAGCAGCAAAGCAGCACTCGTACACTAGAAGGATGGGGCATGGTGGATCGCAACCATGCTACAGCGGAACCACCGGGAGATTTGTAAACAACCGTCGCAAGCAACCTGGTTCTGTCATACCCATATCAAAAAGGTAACAAGGTTTTTGAACCCCTCGTAGCGTTAGCTATAGCTACTTTTGGCAAAGAAGCCATCGAGCTGAGAGAGATCCTCTCTGCTCTTCCAACTCGATCTTCGGCGGGATCTAATGCTTTCCCGGTAGAGGTTGCTTGCAATATCGGCTAACTCAAATGAAATAGAGACATACATTCTTCTTCCTAAACCTGAACAGCAAGCAGTTCTTGACGGAAAGATCCAATCTTCTAAATTTCGATTCTTTTTGAGTCACTTTCATGACTTCACACAAACCTAATCACGCAATCGAAGTGTTAGCATTTTGCAAGCTCACGCTTCAGAGGGATTAGCTATCTCAAAGCACGTGCCCTCTCTTACCAAAGCTGTCATCCGAAAGGCTTGTTCTCACTATAAACTACGCAATTAGCTGTTCGAGCCAGCAACACAACAGGAGACAGAGAAAAAAGAAATGGACAAGAAATCCCGTCTTTTGTTTAAAGAATCGAAATTTAGTACGGGCGTCATGTACCTCACCGATGATGCGATGCTATGCGACGACAGAGACATAGAGGCGGGACGTTGCACTATCAAGACTAGGGAGGGAAGAGTGGAAGCTTCAGTTCCTTCCCGAGAACGTAGAGTACCTTGCCCGTCAGAGTATAATGTGTCTCAACAGGCTCGGTTCGGGACTATGTGAAGCAGTTCACAACCGTCGATCTTGGACGTCACCGAGATGGGGGAGAAGGATCGACTCTTCTTCTCATGGACTCAAAAAGTGGGCGGAGCTAGAGTTGCCAATAAGTGAAGGACTGGGCTTCCGCACTCGCTGCAGCCGAGCGCCTCGAAGTTCAGGCATCAGGTTGGACAAAGAAAAGAGAAGTCGAGTGGGCCAAAAAAAAAAAAAAAAAATGGGAATGGATCCGCGCGCGGAGGGACAAGTTTGCTAGTGACCAAGCATCGAGTCAAGCTAGCTAGAAAAGACTAATGCCCAAACAAAGGGTGAAGAAAGGCTAGTCATATTCTTTTCACTGCCCTTATAAACAATCCTAATCAGTCACTTTATAGTACTCTTTATTTCGTGCTTTCCCCGAGTGGGGCACACCAATAGGGCTTCTTATTTTGCTGCAAAGTCCCTTGACACCTTTCTTAGTGAGTACTTAAGTCGTACTCGTAGATCGTAGTTCGATCGAATATAAGATGCACGCTCCTATAATTTCTTTTTCTTCCCCAATTCAGAGTACAAATAGACCAAAGACCAGGCTTGAAGAAGCTGCTTTGATAGAACCAGGGACAATCTATCTATTAACTGGTAAAGGTACCCCCCAATAGGAAACCAATGAGAAAGAATCACCCATAAAAGATGTGGAAGTAGGGATTCCAGCGAAAAAGGGACTAAGTGGAGAAGTAACTAGGAGAATAAAGCAAGAAAGAAAGTAAACCTCACCCCAGGTAATCACAGCTTTCTTCCCCTCAGGTCAAAGAGTAAGAACTCGCTTTCGAGCTAACCTTACATGGAGCTACCTGCCAACAAGCAAGAAGAGTTCTCATTCACGGCTAACTAAGCATTCGTTCGGAGTTGACAAGGGAGAGGGCTTACTTTCCTATATTATGTTATGATGGATAGGCTGGCTGCACTCCCTTTGAGGTAAGAACAGTTCCTTTTGATTCAATTGCAAGAAAACACCCTCTTATGATTATGATACGAACACTAAGCCAAACATTTATATGGATTCCTAAAAAATTAAATAATAGACTATCATGTCATAATATATGACAGAAGCATCACTCTGTCTGTTGGATGCCCTTCTTCACTGCAAACATTTATGTGTTGCCCTTTCTTTAGATTGAAGATCAAACTGACAACCATCATCCTATCTTATTCCTCAAAAACCCGGCCAAAGAGAGAAATTACTTTTTTTTTTAAAAGGGTTTACCCCTCCATAAACACCATTCACAGACCCGTATACTATGCAAAGGCAAAGAGATTATATATATTTATATATATCTAGTGGAGGGGATCATAATCAGGTCAAACGAAGCTCGATAGGCGCCCGTGCATAGCTCAGCGCCTAAGAAAAGTTGCAGTACTTGGCCGAGTTGACTCATCAGTAGTAGTTCTACCAATTTTTTATTTTTGATTCAGTTGAAGAACCACCAGTTTTTTTCCCCACTTGCAATCCGAGTAGCAGATCCAGGTGCTTAGCTACCATTAGCATCCGAGCCAGATCTTAACCAATGGATCCAGCTGCTTTCCCGTATTCGCTATTCCGGCATTAGAATGTTCCGACCCGATTTCTCAATTCAACATTGAGCCGGCCCCGCTTTCCTCTCCCGCGGCAAGAGCTCGTTCGCCAAGTCCGAACTCCCACTTTATCGTCGATGACGGCTCTCTTCGATGCTAGCAACCGCGTTTGACCCTTTTCCGCGCTTCTTTCAATTTCCTTACATTCTAGCTGAAGGAGAGACTTTACCTTTACTTAGAGAGGGGCAGCACTACTACTACGCTCTTCGGTGGTCGTCCATTGCCTTCACTTGTGCCTTAGTTTGATTTCCCGTATGCATCCCGCCGCTTCACTAATGTGAATAGGTTATACAGAAGGGTGGGTTGGTTATATACTCTTATGCGCGTTCCTTCTTCGAACCTTTTGGTATGTATTGCCCCCTAACTATAGATCAGATCCACCAGACGAGAAACTCAATTCCGCACTGCTGCGGAGTCGTCGGACTTATCCACCAAGGGATTCGTGGAATTTCTGTGGATTGCGTTGGAGGAAATCTACCAAAGCTAGGCAGATAGATAGACTCCTTTCCCGCGGGGAGCAAGAAACTAAATCAAATGATTGTTTTTTAATCAGCGCCCCTTTTGGGTATGCAGGTACTAAGAGTCTTCTCACTACCAACCAGCAGACATCGTCTGGCTGGGTCTTGCCGGTATCAACAACAAGAGAAAACAACCAAATGGAAACAGCAACTAACTATGGCTCTTGGCCCAGACAACGCCCTAGGCGTAGGGGAGATCGGAGCAACAGGGAACGCCTAGACGACGTTTTTATTCCTGGGCTGCAGTAAGTAGATCGAGAGGTCGTTCCGCCCCTTGTCCCCGAATATGGGTAATATGTTCTCAAAAAATAAGTTGCTCCAATCTGACCTAGCTGGCGAGCGATCCCAGTTCGCGGCAGAGAACAAGACAGCAAGCGAGCGTACCTTTGTTCGCTTCTTCTCCACCAAGCACGGAAGTTTAAGGATAACTGTAGGTCGGTGGCTGCCTAAGGAAACTCCGATTCGATCCGCCCCCCCGGCTGGGAGGCATCTACCTCATCCCGATCACAAGGAGAGGTTCACCATGATGGGGGTACTTCTTTTTTTTTCCCTTCCGGAGAAATACATAGGGGACCATTCTTTTGTTGCGGCATGCTCCTCAGATTTACGGATTCGCAGGGGGCCTCAGGCCCCACTTAGTTGACTGACAATGACAAAGGCTTGCGAAACTAAGTAGGGCCTTTTGAATTGAATCTTAAGTAGTCTATCAGTGGTGCGAAGCGGCTTTGCCCCTTTTCAGTAGGGGGGCGAAAGGTTAGACCTTAGAAAGTCAGCGAACAGCGGTTCTTCTATGTAGGTATGGCGTTCCCCCCTCTCCTTTCAGTCGCGCTACTTCGTTACCCTCTCCTCTCCTAACGTCGTCGAGCTAAGTGACTTCGTAACCTTTTCGTAGCGTAGTAGAATGAAGGCTACGCACCGACGCTCTCTTATCTATTAAGCGTCTTCGCTAACTCGCTCGCCTACTATACCCTACTATACAATACATTAGTAGGGTAGGCTAGGCTAACTCAGCCGCTTACTTCTAAAAATTTAGGGCTAAGTAGCGCCTTTTCCTTTTTGAATAACCCAGTCTCATTATCTTTCATAAGTCAAGTAGGCGAACCTATAGGTCCTTAGTAGGCGTTGACAAAGAAGAACAGCCGGTTAAAAGACAGCGAATCTTTTTATTTATATTTTATATTAATTATTTAATAAAAAGATATATATAGGCCAGCTTGACAAGCTACCCTTCCTCTTGATCTGAGGTGCGAAGAGAAGCATCTCTTTTTTATGACTTCCACTTATCGATCCCGGCCCGGAAAAGTAACCGACCAGGGCCCTATTGATGAATGAAAGAAAGGGTTTATGAGCCCTAGCCCTGTAAGCCCACACCTGTGTAGAGTGGATCGTTCAACACCTGCGGCACAAACCCATTTTTGACCTATTGGTCCTAGTATCATAGGCGACCGAACGGCCGCCCCCTAATTACTAGACCAACCTGCTATAATAATTCCATAAACACCTAGCGAAGATATGGCAAACAAATAAAGTAGCCCTATGTTCGAATCTGACAATACCATACCATAATCAAAAGGTACAACGGCCCGAGCAACCAGACTTAACATAAATGTAGTCACTGGAGCCATTCTAAAAAGGGAGAAATTAGCACTACTTGGTGAAATAGGTTCTTTTAGAATCAATTTCAAACCATCTGCTAGAGGTTGTAACAATCCGAACGATCCCACTACATCAGGACCCTTTCGACGTTGCACAAAAGCCATTACTTTACGTTCAGCTAGCACTAAAAAGGCTACTCCTAGTAGAAGTGGTAGAATTATTCCAAGTATTTCGGCTGGAACAGCTATGTACGTTTTCGATTTTCTATTCACTCATGATCTGGCCTGGTCCACTCGATCTTGATATTTCACTCATGATCTGGCCTGGTCGACCCAATCATGATATTGAAGGATGGGACCTTTTCTCGAAAAACTCCGGATCCAGAGAAGAGTTGAAGATGGTGCAACATCGTTCCCCTCTACGTTCTGTTAAAATGAAAAAACTTGCTAGAGCGAAAGCACTAACGCCAGAGCTTGGGCAAAGTGGGGACTCTGCGTGCCCTGATTGACCAGATCTAAATAGATCTGGTTCAGACATTGAAAGCTCTCGTCGCGAAAAAAAAGATGTTCGGATAACTCTTGGAGATTTACTTCTGCGGGTAGGTTCACGTTCCCATCCGGAGTAGTATCTCTATAGACTCTAAAAATTATTGAGAGTTGTTCCACTATTTTTTCTTTAATAACATTCATGGTTACATCAGTAACCTTTGTTTCTATATTCATACTATCCATTAGATGGAGCATTTGGCCAGCTCTAACGGCTACAAGAATAGCTACAGGCAAAGCCAAACCCATCCTAGATATAAAATCCGTAATCAGGTGATCCATATCCGCTATTATATCGTAGTGTTCTTAAAGAAGACCGCGCCAATTCGTATCCCGAAGATACAAGCAAAGCGCCCGGTCCTCTTCTCATGCATCGAAGCTTTTTCTTTCAAGTCCGCGTGGTCAGGTTTTGCCTGACATAAGGAGTGGGAAATAAGGGAAAAAGCAGAAACTGAACTAACGGAGATTTTATACTCCGTGCTGCATCATGAAATCGTAGAACTTCTTTCTATACGCAACTGGCATACCGTCGAATCTACTCTACTTTACGATACCATCTTTCTTCTCTTATGAAATTACACTTCTCCGCCGACAGAGTGCTTCGTTGATTCAAAAGCTATGTCTTTCCCAGTCTTCGTGCTCTTTGGTGATTCTTTGACTCATCTCTTCCCGTAAGAAAGACACGAAAAAAGGGGTTTTGGTTAAAGAAAGGCCCCTTTTCGTCGGGTTATAAGCCTATGCTGATCAGCAGAGCAGGATGCCACACCTGCTACAAGGCTTACAAGAAAAAAAAGAAAAAAGGAAGGAAAGCCCGCCGCTGATTCCGCTTTACCTTCATTTCTTCCTTTTTTTTGCAAGTATTGGAATGAAAGCGAGAGCAGCGTATGTCCACGGTGATCAAGGCGGGGCTACTCCTTAAGAAAAAGAGGTTCTCGAAACCTTCGAACTGAAGCTGCTGAAGCCCCTCTGCTTGATCTGATCTTTCTCGAGGAATAGGATATTTAAACCAGACGGGGCAGAGCTCGTACTAATAATAGCTAGAAACCCGAGGGGCATTCTGGAATCTTGGCAGAGTCACCCCGATAAGACAACCTGGAGGGAATTCCTGCCATACAGGAAAGGAAAGACCTGGGACCAGTACTCCCCAACTTGGGAACTCAGCTTATAGCGAAGGGGGGCTTTTTATGCGACACTGCTATGGCGAAGAGTGAACCGATACTCTTTATATTGAGATTTCCCTCGGGTTTCTGCTTAATTACTGGCGTCCGCCTTTATCATCCCTTTCTGTCTTTCCGGGATTGCCTATCGATGACCAACAAACGGAATCCAGAGGAGATTACAAGGCCATCCCATTCAAAAGGAATGGAGGCCGCAGGCAAAGAAAACTCCCTGGACGAGCTACCAGTAAAAGGAATGAATCACGCTTGGGTACCTTCCACAAATGGAGGATGAGCAGAAGGAGCTGCAAGCCCTTTTTCTTTATTATTTCGAGCGATGACCTCAATTGATCAATACCGCAAAAGAAAAGGACCAAAGTCCCCTATTTAGTGGCAGCCGGGCGGAACTCGTCGGGACTAAGGGCACGGACTTCGAGCAATCCTTTGTTAGAAAGGGAGAACGGAGGTTTCATTATCGAGAAGCTAATCCGGCTTGTAGTTTGAGGGAGATACCCGGCTGGTGGGGGTCTCTTACCCATAGACTTGACTCTAACAAAGGCAGAAAGGAGGACTTCTTTGATAATAGCAATTTATGATACCGGGAAATGAAAGAGAAAATAAGACCGTCCCATCTTGCGAGATCTCTCTCTGATCCGCGTCCTATTCTCCGCAATTCATCCTTTTAGAACTCTTTAGAAAGAAGGAAGTGAGATGCTTGAAAGTCAATCTTAGGATACACGGAACTGGCAATTGAATCGATCTACTGAGACCTGCTCATCGTCAGATTTCCTTAATCAATGACACCTTCCTTTTCAATGAGTCCTAGCTTCCCCCTGGTCGACGAATCTTGAACCTTGAACTAGGATTGACTACAATCTGAATTCGCTACTCTCACTCAAGCTAGCCCCCTACAGGAGGAGCCTGATCGTAGACCACCCTCCTATCTAGAGGTAGGAGCGTAACTTCTTCGTTTTATACCTAATAAGAGCGTAGGTTTTTATTCCTGCCTTTCTGATGTTCCTTACGAGTGGTAGTTCTTCGACTCTCCTGTGTTAAGCACGTGTAGTAAGTCTTCCCATTTTTTTGTTATCCCTATTTCTTGCAGGTAAGAATGTATTAGGCTAGATAAGAACTAATTAGCTGTTAGCTCTCTTTTCCTGAAGTTTATATCAAGCTAGGATAGAACAGACTGTATTATATCTCTCAAGTCTTCCCCTGTTCCTGTATCTATTGGCATGGCCTTTAATGAATGGCATTAAGCAAATGGAGAGCTCCCATGTGAGTATCCTCGGTCTCACTCTTGTCCGAGTTATCTTGGCTTGACTCACGTTGAGCAGCCAACAATGCGTTTAAGGCGGCCTTCTGAGGACATTGGTAGGTCTTGTGAGATCCACCGCAGAGAATGCATTTTAGGGTTTATGATGATGGTTTGAAGAGGCACCGGTGCTTCGTGAGTGGGAGGAGTCTTTCCGTGAGCTAGGGCTTGAGCTTGCTCCCCCTTCATTCAGCCGGAGCTGGTGAATTCAATGATAGATTCTTTAGCCAAAAGGCGGGTGGCATTTTCCGGAGTAAGCTAAGGTATCTTATTACGTTTATAATGTTCCATCCCCGCTGAAGCAAAGCAAACACGCCCACTTGAACGCTTTGTTAATGAACTTAGTCTAATAGAAAAAACGAAAGAGATTTCTTTCTTCGTTTCCCCCGCAGCTATTCCTCCTTTAGACTCATGCAAGAAAGTACAAGGTGGTTTTGGGAATAGAGGAAGCCAGTAGATGATAGTTAGGTAGTTGCAGAAAGCAATCGGAACTAGGAGGGAACGGGAGGGGCCGACAAGCAAAAGCAATGGCAATCAGCCGCCTAATTACTTTGCGACCACTTAGCGCAATAGTTCATATGTTGATTCATGAGCTAACTAAGGAGGCTGCCTTTATGTTAATATGTATGCCAATAGCATGAAATATAGAACATTGAGCAGCAGTCACTCATTATGTACGCAGTTATTAAACAAAGACTATTAAGACGAGTCGTGTGCGCGGGTGGTCTGATCGGGCAGCATTCTGTTCCACCAGAGAGCGACGAGGTCAGGTCGCCTGGAAAGAGCTGCTTTGTCTCGGTTTTCCATGGATGGACAAAAAGGTGAGGTGAAACGAAAAGTAGGAAATAAAGGAAGGGCAGCTTACGCTTGTCTTCGACCGATGAGGGCAAAAACAAGGTTTTTGATTCCCTTACTTGTGATCCTATCGGAGCTGTTCTGAACGATACCCTTTCTCCTCACTTACCCTATCTAGTCGAGCGTCTACGAAACTCTCCTTTCAGCCTATGTGGTTTTTCTCCAAGACGCTGGAAGCCTTTTTCCTTTTGACGCCCGTGGGAATAACCAATTGATGTGGAGACCTCTAACTACGGTCGAGTACTGCTTCTGTTCCTCTGCCGTTATACTTGGCATCTACAGCTCCTACTCCTTCTACTGCCGCTTCTTACTCTCGCTCCGACTGCTGACAGAACCATCTCTTTAGTCGACAATGCCCTTCCTGAACATCCGGATTGGGATGAATCATTTACTCCTATGGTCTTAATAAGAGGAGGTAGAGTGAAAGATTCGCCAGGTGTGAAATCCCATCGTATTCGAGGAGTCAAGGATTTGCTGGGAATTCCGAAACGAAGTAAGAAGGCTGTCAATCAAATATGGTACGCGGTGCTTGTCAAATAAAAAACTATCCCTTAAAAGTGAGTTCGAAAGGTAAGAGTCTTGTACCTACCTAGTAGAACTCACTTTTAAGAACTAATAATAAGAATTTTCTCAGAAGCGAGAGCGCACCTCGAGAAACAAGTCTCAGGAAGTGAGTTAGTTATAGTATTACAGGAGCTAATAGCTTCAGAGAAATAAGCACAGGAAATACTGGTGGGAATCTCACCTCCAAGCCTTTCATGGGCCCGCGTTGAAATACCCAACAAAAATCCAAAGATCATTGATAGCAGAATGAAGAAACTGAAGATCCCGCTATAAAGATCTCCTCATAATGTAATTAAATTATTAGAAGCATACAAAAAAATGAAAGCGCAGCTAACATTATCCAGGAACAAGGAACAGGTGATGGATTGAGCAGTAATAAAGGTAATGGTTGGAAGCTGATGGATGGCCGAGTAAAGAACCCAGATATTAGAAGGGAGACCGTTACAGTGGTTCAAGGTAGCTAAATTCATGTTTCACGAGGACCAGAAAGAAGAAGGGATATTGGAAAAAGAAGTCATGGATTCAGCAATACAAAGAGGTTCAGCTGTTTCCAAATACGGCTGATCTGGTGATAAAGGCCAAGGGCGTGCTCTTCTATTGAAGGAAGAACAGAAACGAAACAGCTCTCTTTGCGTACTATGGATCTCTTACGTGCGACATTCCTTGCTTTGACGAGCAGCATCCAGTACATTCACCCCGGCTGGGCAGTAGCGCCAAGAAGAACTTCAAGCTAAGAGCGAAGAGAAGGTAATGATTTCGCTCAGTAGAAGGTCACCTACATGGATATTGAGGCTATAAGCCGCAGGTAAGATATAGTTCACAAGTCGAAGGGGAATCTTAGC